TTTTTTTATTTTTTATTAATTTGCGGTTAACCGAAACCGCACCGCACTGAAAATTTCGGTGCGGTTCAGTTTGGTTAAATAAAAGATTTCAGTTTTTGGTTTTTTGCGGTTCGGTGCGGTTTTGCACCGAACCGCACCATGCTCACCCCTAGGCACAACGAATCTAAAGGTTTAACGTATAAAAACGTAACATACGGCTTAAATTTTTTTGAATCTGACAGGATGAGTCAGATGGTAACAGGAGCAGCATGTCGAAGTCGTCTTGATTGGACGGGGCTGGGATCGTCAGCGTTGGGCTAGCGGGGTTGTTGCGGAGGTCGCCAGAGGCTGGCCAGGCATCGCACGAAGCTGGCTGGGCGCTGGGGGTTGTGGCGTTGTCGCGAGATCGGCTTCTCGTCGCAGCGGTGATCATCGATTGTCCTTGGGCTAGCGGCGGCGGTCCGGCTGGGCTCACGGTGGTCGGCGATCGGCTCCGGCGTTGACGAATGTATTTTATCACGGGGTCTCGAATATCACAAGATCTTATACTGTATTACTCAAACACCCCTTCAACCCGTAACGGTAGAGCAACGAGAAAAAGATAAAACTCGAATAGAAAACTAGAGTGAGAGAGGGGTGTATATTGAATGTAGGATTTTTTTAGTGATGTATATATAGAGCTACAATAAAGATCCTAAGGACAATAGGACTATGGCTTCTTAAGTATTGGACTAACTGTGGGCAAACCCACTCTTCTAATTACTTCAATAATATTACGTTAGGTCCACTAACGTAATATTACTGCACTCACCTTTCCTATCACAAATTAAATTTGAGACTCTAATAATAATTACTCGAATTACCTCCCCATATTTAAAATATAATATTAATTAATTAATTCAATTACTGATAATTAATTAATATATTATATTACCAAAGCTTTCGCTTGTTCATTGCATTATTATTTTGCCGGAACTTAATCCACCTGCAGGGTTTAGCATAACAATCATTCATGAACTTACTTCAGGGACATCATCTAACTAACGCACATGGTGACAGTAAATATCCTAACAGCACATCATACATACAACAATATTACCCAAGACAGTAAGAATATTGAATCAGCAAACTGTATCTCACCCAAGTGAATCAAAGTAATAAATACTGCATGTACATGTCTGTTTAATATCTTACGGGTTAAGAGAACGCAATAATTAACCGAGACTAAGTTTGTTTACGACGATCAATATAAAATAGACTATCACTCTCTTGGATCATGTTCAATACATAAATGTACTAATGCAACTAATCCGTCAAGACCGACTGTACTGTTGACAATACAATCGTTTCGATGGTGTGTTCATTTACATCTATGTTGTGAACCAATAATTCATGTTTCGCAAGTAACTGATAAAATGATCTTCTGTTCACCCACTAATGAACTATTTCATCTAAGTGCAAAACAACATAACATAGAACTCATTTAATCAAACATGGTCCTCATTCATAAAGAGCAAAAGTTCCAAAGTCAAGTTTCAGTATATAACACTAATAGAACATGCATTTTGTATAAACTAAATGTGCCGTAAAAAAATAACAATATATTGTAGTCTTACTAACTGTAGCTACTATCTTTGTGTTCTCAACTAAGTATGCATTAATATGAAACAATATGCATTTGTTATTTCCTAAATATGAATAATGAATGAACTAAATATGCATTATGTATTAAAGTAATTATATAATAAAATATATTAGATCAAATTAATTATATAATAACAAATATATTTTCCGGTTTATATACATATATATATATATATATATATATATTATATGCATATGTATGATATATTATATGCATATGATATGATCTAAGTATGTATGCTAAATATGCATTTTTGTATGAACTGAATGTGCATTGTGTATGAAGTAAATTTTCACTCAAAATATGCATTTGATATGAACTAAATATGTATTTTGTATAAACTAAATGTGCAACCTCAATATCAATTATGTATGCATTGTTCATGAACTACATATGCACTTAGTATGAACAACATACGCACTTTGTATGAACTAAATATGTATGCTATCGTGTTATTTTATGAACCAAATATGGATTGTGTATAAAGAAATTTTTCACTCGAAATATGCAGTTTATATGAACAGAATTTGCGTTTGGTAAGAACTTGATACGTAATTAAGTAAACCTGCAACAACAATATCAAATAAGTATGCATTGTTCATCAAATAAATATGCATTTAGTATAATTTACATGTGCAATCAAAATATGCAATTGACTGTAATATCTTGGAGTGTTCAACTGTTCAACTAAGTATGCATGATATATGAACTAAAATATGCATTTCTATTATCCAAATATGCACAATAAATAAACTACATGTGTCTTAATTATATAATAAAAAACTCAAGGGATAGAGTGCAATCATTCAAACTTTAAGTAAATTATAGATTGACCCAAATGATCAAATTATAATAACTCGCAGTTATGAAATTTCAACTAAAATCGGGTCCTCCTTCTCATAACCCTCGTCGTCCTCCACCCGTCGTACCCTCTTCATTGTCGCCTCAACCGGAGATGCCTTCACCGTGCGTCTTTAAGGCTTCTTCCGCCAACTGCAACTACTCGATCGTTTGCCTGATTCAACTAATAGATCAAAAAAATAGAGGCACTGCATCGTCGCTCGATGAGTTTGGAGTTCCATTTGTCACCGTAACTCTCATCTCTGGCCTCATGAATTATTTGAGCGCGTTTATCCTCAGATTTGTGCCCTATTTCCACCACCCCCGCCTCAAAAGAGATCGATATTGGTGACACTTGAATTTTTACGACAGGCGTCGTGGAAATTGCAGGGGGAAACGACAGGCTGCCACGTCAGGAGCTTGTCAGGTTTGCACGTCTGGGAGTCTCCGATGGTACGTAAAGGATGAGGGCATAGTTTGGGGATGCGGCGACAACTGCTACCATGGAGTGACACAAAAGGGCACC